TGCATGAACTCCTCCCACCGAAGCTCCAACTTAGTGTTCGTGCGCCGAACTCCCAACTGGGGGTTGATCTCTAAACTCTAAAGGTCCTTCAGGGAAATGATTTAGGGTTCCCATGGGTTTATCAGGGAGGTTCTTATATGTTTACAAGGGAAAGATCGGGTCATCGTGGGAAGGGGTATGTTGATCAGCTATCAACTCTCAAGGACTGTTGGCGGGCCTTGGGCGCAGAGCGCGACGGCGTGCTGCGCCTTCGCCACCTCGACCGGAAGACGGATGAGCTGCCGGGGGGCCTAGAAGCTGGTGAGACCGGCCGTAAGCTGCTGTTTTGTTTGCCTGTCTTCTTCTTCTTCTTCTTCTTCTTCTTCTTCTTCTTCTTCTTCTTCTTCTTCTTGCATGTCAGCTTGTGTGACTGACGTGCGAGATTCCAAGACCTTGGCCGAAGTACAAGTATACAGGCTTGTTGTTATTCGCAAGCTGCTTGGGCGGGTTGCTCTCAACGATGGGGCCCTTGTGGCATCTCGACTAGTCCTATTCATTGTTTACGGGCCCAATGGGGCCCATAATTTTAGATCAAGCCTCATCTTGGGCTTTCTTGTAATATCCCAAAACCTTGGGCCATGTAGGGCTTATAGAGTTCTACAGGGAGGGGGTTCAAGGGCGGGTATGCAACCCAAGGTTCCCTAAACTCCCCACTATGAACCCCCCCTCCTTAATAAAGGGTGTTTGGGCTTCGGGTTTAAGGTCTGACCCTAAACCCTAAACCCTAAAGCCTAAACCCTAAACCCTAAACCCCAGTTCCAGTGCCCAGCAGCCTGCATCTCGCAAGGATGCTTGGCTTCAAGCTCACCTTGACCGACAAGTGCCCCCAGGGGGTTCAGGGGTTCGGGGGCATCCCGAGAAGCCTAAACCCTGAACCTTTAACCGACTGGACCCTCGGCTCCAGGCCCTAAACCCAAAACTCTAAAGCCTAAACAGCTGGGTTTGGGGTCCTAAGGTTCTGAGGTTGTTTCAGGTGTCGGGCTCTAGCCCCAATAAGGTACTGTAGCCCAAGCCTATTCATGAGGGAGACACCCCTCAGCCCTCCCCCCCCCCGCCAGGTACGGAAACATGCTGAACGCCTGGTCTTCGCCCAAGCAATCTCAGCCGGGCTGCTGGGTGCAGTGTCGTCTTCGAAAGCCTTGCGGTGACTATGAGCCAGAAGGGGCCCTCGTTTTCTTTGTGTTAGGGTTTAGGGTTTAGGGTTCAGGGTTCAGGGTCGCTTTTGACCAGTGGATGTGGGTTGTTTCCCCACAAATAGCACTCTTGCATAGACGCATAGACCTTGGATGGGCGTTTCCGGAAATTGGAAGTACCTTTCTTCGGGGTGCCTATACCAGAATGATTTATAGAGTATATTGGGGTATGTGAAGGGGGACCCTACCTGAGATCTCCTACGAAAACTGTCCTATCGAACCTTATGGCTGCGGCCTGAGAGTCTGCTGCGTGCTTGTGGCATTGAGGATCGGGCCTTGTTAGAGAGCTTGGGGGTGTAGGGGCTTTGGGGGATATAGGGTTCAGGGATTTAGGGATCTTGGGTTTAGGGTTGAGAGGTTTAGGGTTTCGGGTTTAGGGTTGGGTTGAGAGGTTTAGGGTTTCGGGTCTTCTGTGCACTGTTGGAAGGAAGGCATTCGACCCAAATGGCCTGACTCTGGTTGATGAGGCCTGTTGGGAGACATGGGCTCCACGAGATTTAGAAATATAGGGGTTTCGGGCTTATGCGGTTTGGGTTTACAGGGTTTCAAGTGTAAATAGGGTTTATAGTGTTGGTAGGGTTCATGGGGCTTATGGGTTTTCAAGGTTTTGAGGGGTTAAGGAACCGAAGCAACTCGACTGGACGTCCACTTGGTTTGTAGCTTCCCTACAGTCATGCGCGAACTCGAAGCCCCACACCTGTCAACAGCTCTGCGTATAAAAGTGCGATCCCCAACATCTCTAACGGTTTTTCGGGTTTAGGGTTATTGAAAACCCAAACCCGTTCACAGCCGTCCACATCCCTTGATGGGAAAACCTCCCAAAGAATTTTTGATGGGTCAAGCAGGGCCATGTACTAAATGCCCTTGGAGTTTCCTTTGAAGGAGGTTTACTCGTAGAGTGACGCATGTTTTTCGGTGGAGAGCTCGTAGCTCCTGTTTGATTCCGAGAATGTCCCCTGAATCAGGGTCAGGGTTTAGGGCTTCAGGCTTTTTGAATTCCGGGCAGTAGAGGCGTATAGTACCTACATGCAAGTTATAATACGATCGCATCCTAGCCCTACACCCGACGCCCTAAACCCAAGGGTTTAGGGTTTAGGGTTTAGGGTTTTAGGTTTTAGGGTTTAGGGTTTAGGGTTCAAGGCCTCTGCCGCCTAAGTGAATTTTTGCCAGGCGACCTTTGTGAAGCAGCTGGGGCCCTTGGGGGTCCAGGGTTATGGGTTTTGGGCTTTCGCTGGGTCTTGGAGTACCTTGCTTTCATACTTTTTTTGGTTCTGGGTTCCTATCATAGCTACTTATACCTAAAAAGTATATACTTTTTTTTCCAGGGTCTTCTCCAAAGCTAAGTTAAGTGTTCAGCGCAAACTTTGCTAGCCCTTTGCTGTTTTGGGGGCTTGGGCGGGTGTGGGGCATGGGGGTGGGGTGGGGTGCGTGTTTGTTTCTGTCGGCTGGCCGAACAGTCTTGTACACCATAACAAAAAACTAGAGTTTCGGGTCGAGGTAGAGTGCTTAGGATGTATCTTGTCATGTGTTTGGGTAAGACCTGGTGGTCTAAATGAGAGCTTAGGCTTTGCTGCTGTGTTCCGCTCTTGAAGTTGGGACGCAAACGGTTAGGGTCCCCTGTGGTACCCTTTTATGTCCTTTCCTCGAGTTAGGTGCCCTTATAGCTAAGCACCCTGCAAGAAGAAAGGGGTCCCACCTGCCCCCAAAACACCCAAAACCCACACCTTTGTTTAGGGTTTAGGGTTTAGGGTTTAGTGGCATTGTCTGGGAGTCTCACCTCTCCAGGGTCAAGGCTAAAGATTGCTGGAGCCAGTGAAAACCGAGTGTGTGAGCTCAAGGGTTGAAGGCTGATATAAACCCTAAACCCTAAACCCTTATAAGGATCATTCAACTTCAAGCTCTCTGAAAGGGTACTTATTTTAGGTTTTTTAAGGCTCTTCAAGGGCAGTTTACAGTTACCCAAAGTTAGACACAAGTTCGTCCCAAAACCGACCTGCGAGCTCCTCCTACCCGAGGCAGAGGCCCTGAACAACCCCCCTCCCCCCCCCCCCCCCTCCCCCCTCCCCCCTCCCCCCCCCTCCCCCCCCCTCCCCCCCCCTCCCCCCCCCCTCCCCCCCCCTCCCCCCCCCCCCCCCTCCCCCCCCCTCCCCCCCCCCCCTCCCCCCCCCTCCGCCCTCCCCCCCTCCCCCCCCTCCCCCCTCCCCCCCCCCCCAAGCCCTCCCTGGAGCGCAAGTCTTGCGAGGCCATCTTGGCTTACCCTTCCTGATTCTGGGGTTTAAGGTTTAGGGTTTAGGGTTTAGGGCTTAGGGATGCTTAGGGTCTAATTATAGGGTTTAGGGTCTAGGGTCTTTAGGGTTTAGGGTCTGTAGGGTTTAGGGTTTAGGGTTGACTAGCTTCCAGCTTCTTGAGCCGACCCCAGGATGCTACGCGTGCGCATGCTCTCCGGAGAGGTGACAAGCATCCCTCTGGAATCGGTGAGCAATGTCAGGGAAGTGAAGCAGCGGTTGCACCAACACCACGGCCTTCCTCCGCGCTTCAGGCAGAGGCTCATCCTTGAGGGCGCCACCTTGGATGACGCTGAGGAGCTGGACTCTCCCATCGATCTGGACCTCGTCGTGCAAACCTTCTCTAGTCCGTCCCAGGCACAGGCGGACGAGCTCGTAGCTGCCGCCAGAGATGGCTCAGTCCAACAGGCAGGGGTTTACAGCATTGCCGGAGCCAAGATGATTGTCAATATCATCCCACTGCAGTCCCTGTATTACCCTACATGTTCTAGTATCAACTACAGAAGTACCTGTTTTAGTTAAATAGGCCCTCTGTGCTAGATGAGTGGGCGACCTGCGGCCGACTGCTCCAGCAATATAGGGACCTTTTTGACAAGAATGTGTGCTATCGGTAGATATTGTGGCCGTGTAGGGGGTGTATGGAGGCAATACTGAGGCAATCGTCTAGGTTCCTGTATCAATATCCCCTCGCCATAAGGACCCTAAGCAGCAGAATCCTCCAGGTCGAAGCTATGCTGCAGTTGCCTCTGGACCCAAACCTTGCCACCGAAGCAGCAACCGGCGAGAGGCCTCTCTACGCGGCGTCTCGCGCAGGCCACGTTGAAGTCGTTCGGTTGCTATTAGAGGCTGGCGTCTGCAACGACTTGCGCAACATGCATGGCTTCACTCCGTTGATGTTCGCAGTTCACGGCCATGTTGACGTCGTTCGATTGCTGGTGGAGGTCGGCGCCGACAAGGGCGCGGCCAGCAACGACGGCCGCACAGCCCTGACGCTTGCAGCTGCGGCAGGCCATACTGAGGTCGTGCGTTTCCTGGTGGAGGCCGGTGTCAACATGGACGCGCCCGACAACGATGGCAACACAGCCCTCCTTCATTCAGCTGCAGAAGGCCAGGCTGAAGTCGTGCGTTTGCTGCTGGAGGCCGGCGTGGACAGGGACGCTGCCAACAAGGATGGCAACACAGCCCTGATGCTCGCAACCCTCTGTGGCGAAGGTGAAGTCGTGCGTTTGCTGTTGGAGGCCGGTGCCGACAAGGACGCGGCCAACAACGACGGCCAAACTGCCCAGATGATCGCACGAGGCAACCTCCACCACTTTACTGAAATCAGGCGGCTGCTGGAAAAGCCTACCGTCCTATAAAGTCAAGATGGCAGTTTGGGTCCGAAATTAGAGCTTCGGATTCGGGACGTTTTGAGACAATTATGTTAACAGCTAGGTTTGTGGGTTTTGGAATTACCCGTTGCTCGGTGGCCAGCTTTGGCAGAATGCATCAAATGTTCGCAAGTTTCCAGAGAATGGGCGTCTCTTGTAAAGCCTTCCACGATGAGAGGAATGCGAGTGCAATGTGCGTCTCACTTTCATTTGGGGCTGGCTTCGGCAAGCCTCACTTGCACTCTCTTGTGCAGCGTCAGAGCTAAAGAGGGGATTGTAGTTCGGATCTTAGATCGGGAATCATACAGTAGCCTCAACGGATTATCCACCACGACAAAATGGTTGTGCGAAGCGATTGCATTGACGATGTTGTGATATATCTGTATGATTTCCTGGACATAGTCTTATATGGTTTGATGTGTTTGCTGTTATGATACGATCAATGCTCGTCAGACTTTCTGACCGTGATCCTCAGGGACACCCAGTGGCTGTCACAAATTGCAAGCACAACCCTCAAACCCTCAACCCCCAACCCTCAACCCTCAACCCTCCCCCTAAACCCGAAATCCTGGACCCGAAACCCTAAACCCCCTGAACCTAAACCCTAACCCCCCTAAACCCCCAACCCTAAACCCTAAACCCTAAACCCTAAACCCTAAACCCTAAACCCTAAACCCTAAACCCTAAACCCTCAACCCTAAACCCTAAACCCTAAACCTAAGCCGAGGTGCCAAGCAGACGGTGTAGAGGGAGACCTGGTGGCTGACCCAGCATTTGCTGGTGGTTGGGTTTTGCGGGCTTGGTGTTTAGGGTTTAGGGTAATCAGGGTTTCAGGGTTTTAGGGGTTTTTTCAGGGTTTTAGGGTTTTTTTCAGGGTTTTAGGGTTTTAGGGATTGGGGTTTAGGGTTATGGGTTTTAGGGTTTAGGATTTTGGGGCAGTTAAGGTTTAGGCTTTCATGGTTTCTGGTTTGGGCGTCTAGGGTTTAGGGCTCAGCTCCCTGAAGGTTTCGGGTTTGGGGCTTGGGGTTTAGGATTTAGGGTTTAGGAGGTTTCAAGGCTCGGTGCCTCTTGAGGGCCCTTGAGATCCAAAGCCTGAACAGACCGAAAACTTGCACCCTGACCCTGAACTCCACAACTTGCTAACTTGAACCCCCCCAAAGGCACCCCTAAATTTCGAACCCCCCCCTCCCCCCACCCCCATGGTTTTTCTTTTGTTGGGGTTGGGGTCAGGGTGACCGAATCTTGTGGTTCTTGAAAAGAACTTTCGCTAAACCCTAAGCCCTAAACCCTAAACCCTAAACCCTAACTATGGTTGAGGGGGGTTTTACCACCAGCCACAGGTCCAGCTCTTCCACGAGCTCATGGCGCCTGAGCTAAAGTGGTGCTTTCCGAAAATAGGGGTGCCCCTTTTTGAGGGGTTTAGGGTTTGGGGTTTAGGGTTTAGGGTTCAGGGCTTAGGGTTTAGGGTTTAGGGTTTCGGGTTTAGGGTTTAGGGTTTAGGTCCCTTTAAGGGGATGCTATTCTGCAAGGACACAGGGGTATCCCTACTTTGGGACATACCCAGATCTTTTCGGGGCCAAGGGAGCTACTGGGTTTAGGATGGAAAGTGGGTGCTGAGGGTTTGGGGGTCTGGGTGTTCCTGGGTGGAGGTCAGAGATCAGCATCTTGCGCAGATTGCCGTGTGGGGGTATGACATGATTTGTTGGCTCAGAGGGCTTGACGTTTGGGGCAAAGCCCTGAAACCTAAATCCTGAAATGCAAATTTCGCGGTCATGTTCCACCCGATACAAAACCCCGCAAACCCTAGAAACCCTATGGACCCTAGAAACCTTTTTAGAAACTTCTTACCCCTGTAAACTGTATAGCCCTATTTCACCCTACAAAAGCCTAGAATACCCAATATAAACCCTATACAAACCCTACAAAAACCCGATAACAACCGTGCATGGGCTCTTCCCAAAGTAAAGGATTGAATAGAATCCCCTTAAAGGGACCCCCGAAAAGGGTACCCCTAATTTCGGAAATTCCCGTCTAAACCCTACATCAAGATCCTAGGAAAACCCTACAAACGCCCTACAAACCCTCTGAACCCTCGTGCCACCCAGGACGACCCGCTGCGAAAGAGGGAGTTTCACAAGATGTCACTCCGGGAGTCGCGCCCCTGGATGCCCTAAACCCTAAACCCTAAACCCTAAACCCTAAACCCCAAACCCTAAACCCTAAACCCCAAACCCTAAACCCTAAACCCTAAACCCTAAAAACTAAACCCCCAAGGATGCCCTCTCTGGTCTCTCACTGACGGAGTGGAGAGTTGAAGGGTTCTAGGGGTTCTGGGGAGCTTTAGGGGTGTTGGGTTTTAGAGTTCTAGGGGTTTTGGGGTTTAGGGCTGAGGGCTTCGGGTTTTAGAGTTCTGGCGGTTTTGGGGTTTAGGGTTAAGTGGGTTGAGGGTTCTAGGGTTTCGGGCTCTATAGGGCTCTTGGGCTCTAAACTGGTCGTCTTTGCAGGGTCTAATGGTTTCGAGCTCGAGGGCCCTAGGGTTTCTCGGGCTTCGGGTTTGACTTTAAGGTTTCGCATTCTGGGGCTCCAAGTTGTGGCGCGTCCATCTCTGCACCCCACGGTTCCTTGCAGGCAGCAAGAGCATCGGAAGGCACGTTTGATCCTAATCTTCAACCACCACCCCAAATGGGGGTTTACGACATTCGGGGTACCTTGTTGGGGATGGGGTCTTTATGAGAACCCCGAACCCTCACACCCGAAACTCCTTGACCCCGAAACTCCTTGACCCCCACATCCTAAATTGCAGGTGGTAGCCGTGTGTCTGCTTCTGCTCCTTCAGGTCCTTCCGAAATCCGGTTTAAGGTTAGGACGGTGCAGCGGCAGCTATGGTTCATCCTTTGGCCTTTAGCGTTGAGGGTTTAGGGTTTAGGGTTTAGGGTACTCTGTGTGCCCGGGTGTTCTCCTTTACTGCACCCTTACAGGATTTGCAATTTTTGCCCGAATCCTGGGGCCCAGGGTCTACGCGCAGGGGTTGAGGCCTATAAGGTTTAGGGTAAACCCTAAAAGCCCCAAGCCCTAAACTATCCTAGGTTCGACCTCGGGGCCCACCAAGCCGTGACGCGAAACGACCAGGAAATGATTGTGGAGGCCTGAGGGTTGTTGGTTGTTGTTTTTCCCTCCATGTTTTTGTTTTTCAGAACTCTGCTTATAATTCGTTCTACCTAGTATAAGAGAAATCTTGGAGAATGCAGTTTCAATTGTTGTGGATGTTCTGGTACCCCGCGGGCTAAAAGGGTTCAGGGTTCCGGGTCTCTTTCAAAAAGTCTTCGCCTGGACCCTGAAGTGCAGTTCCTTGTTTGGAGTACCCTAACTGTCTCATTCCACGACGCGAACCAAAATGTTAGGTATCCCACAGTATCAAGAGCACAGGTAAGCCCCCCTCACAAGCCCCAGTACCTGGAGCCCTCGGAAACCCGACAGACTTCTCTGAAGGTCTAGGGTTCAGAGATTGGGTTTCAGGTTTCGGGTTATATGGTGGGCTTAAGGTTAGAGGTTGGGATGCTCCCCTCTGAAACTAACAGTCCTTATTGGGGACAAGAAAGGGGGTACTACAATCTCTAGTAAGGGCTGCTAGTATAAGGGGGAACATCCCAAACTATAGGGTTTAGGGGTGAGTGATGGACTCCAAGCACAAGTGCGCGCGTTCGGGCTTGTGAGTGTCTAGGAGTTTGGGAAACCCTTAAGGGTTTAGGGTTTAGGGTTTAGGGTTTAGGGTTTAGGCCTGAGCCCTGCAGAAATCGGAAGTCCAGCTGCCACGGATGCAGGCGCAGAAGACAGAGAAGCGAGATCCGCTGGAGATGACTTTTGACGAACGGCAGGTCCTGCGGGGATAGCTTCAGCTTTTGGATATTTAGTTTAGGTTGTAGTGTTTAGGGTTTTGGAATTTGAATCGGTTTGTTGTAGGGTTGCTGCGGAACCTCGGTTACATGATTTGCCGGGTTTAGGGTAGGGGGGACATCACAGGTTATCCTATAATAGCGTTTGCAGCAGGGTTCGGGGCTTCTGGGTCGTAGCGGTTATAATAGGCTAGTTGCGGCCAGTTAGAGATAGAAGGTTCAGGCGTCACGTTCAGTTCATTTCCCCTTTTATGCCTACTGAGTGGTTGAGAAGTTTCAACCCTGTCTTCAGCGTCTTCCTCTCCGATGGCGAGTTTGGCGAGCAGAGCGAGGTACGTAGAGTTCTATAACCCTACTAAGCTCACAGAGGAGGGGTTAAGGGTTTAGGGTTTAGGGTTTAGGGTGTGGGCTTTATAAACCCTCGATGTCCTGAGCCGTCTGCCAGGAGAACATGTTTTCAGTGAAGTGGACCCGCGTGCGAGGCCAAGAGGTCTGGGAACCCTTGGAGCCAGGGGTTTAGGATTTGGGGTTCAGGGTTTAGGCTGTAGGGTTTCGGGTTCAGGGTTTAGGATTTAGGGGGGAGCTGGGGCAAAGCGATCTTTTCAAGGTGGACATTGGACTTTTGTTCTTTTGTGGCACAAGATGTCTTCTTCCTCCAGTGAGGGTTAGAGACAATCCCCAAAGCCACCATGGGGGGGGGGGGGGCTCATGGCTTTGTTTGCTGCTCAACAAAAAGCCTAACAAAACATCAGCAGCTGCCGCCAGGGTATGGGCACAAGTCCCACTGCCGGCCTCTTTAGATCCTGAAGATGGGACGTTTCCGCAGCCGGCATCTTGTTGTCCTCCTCCTGCTTCTGGGAGCTTCTGGTTCGCCGACCTCGGCCCAGACTCCTGAGGGGTCCGAAGTTACCCTCCAGGGGACCAAAGTTGCCAAGGGTGGCTCGGGTGTCTTCGGACCATCCGATATCTTTAGGGCGCCTCGGGGAGTCTGCAGCGAGAACTGCGAGTCGGGCAAGATGTCCCTGGTGCAGTCGAGCGTCGCTAGGCGAAAGGCCCCGGGAAGCGCTCTGAAACCTTGGGATGTCCGCATGTACTTCGTTGCAGAGCCGAAGTCGTCTTGGAAGTCATCTTTCATTTTGGGTGAGATATACTTAGTCATGAGTCATAAGGCACCACAGGGATTTCTCCAATGGGTTTTCAACAACAGCTGAGGAGCACCACAAGTCCGGCACTGATCTGCTGAACACAGTGCTGCGGCAGGTCTTTTGGGACCTGGGCTCCCCGAGATCCTGTAGCCGAGTTCCTGAAAACGCAGTTACCGTCAACAGCGTGGCGTGCGACGATGATCCCAGTTGCACCATCCAGGTCCACGCAAACCCTAGTCCTGACACTGTGCAGCAGGTGCGTGCCACGGCCAGAAGCCATCACCTGGACCTTCGGGCTGTGCATGCCATAAGGAAGCCGAAGGACATGCTGGTTTCGGCCTATTGCTACACCAAGCGAGGACAAGAGGCGGGCGACAGAGCGTTCGCAAACTTCCCCTGGGCGGAATTCTTGCCCTTTGGCAACCGCTTGCAACCTTCCTCGGTTCTTAAAGCCACAAATGTATGTACTGTACCCCCAAGGTAAGAGTCCAGAATTATGCAGTTCTAGAGCAGCAAGTCTCTCAGTTCTTCTGCTTGGCACTTGGGGTTTTTCATTCAAAGACCTGCAAAGGTCCAATGGTCCAGCTCAGGGTATGATGATTCTCTGGAATTGGGAAATGCACGAGCAGTTTAGCTACATGGTTGACATGTTTGTCAGTACGACCCCGCTTGAGACTTTCACGATGCGCTATGAAGAAGTGACAAAGTCTTCGGCCGACTTCGACAAGATCATTCAACGACTCCTTGGCCACTTCTTCGATGGCTTGGTCTCCAAGGCTGTTCTGCGAGAGCTCGCGGAGGGTGCCAAATTGGCGGACTTGCATCGATACCCTGAGTCCGACGGCGCACACACGAATGACCCCGACTGCATGGCGACAGCGAACGCAGCGCTACTGTCGCTGGATTCTGAAATTCTGGAGCAGCTTAGGGCCTGGCAGGCGCAGCTGGGATACTCCATAGAGAACTGGCCAGACCCCGTCATCGGCTAGGTGCCAATAAGGAGCGAACGGATTTGCGTTCGGAAGCCCCATCGCTGCTGTTGCTCACTTCTACTCGTCATGAGCCCTCACTCCCTGTAACCAGTAACCAGTCGCATCACACAGTGGCTTCACGGAACGGAACATTCAGCAATCAGGGTCTATAGAGCGTGCAACGCCGGCGCACGAAGAGAGCAAAGGAAGTCCTGATCGCCTACGGCAAAAGTCGATAGCACATAGTATCCAAAGCAACCTGCGCGCAACTTCAACGACCTTCACCAACACGCATCCCGTTCAGCGGGTTTACTTCATTTCAACGGCTAATTTCGCTTAGTTCACAGCTGAACCCTAAACCAATAAACCTTGAACAAACTAAATCCTGAACTCTAAACACATTCCTGAGCCCTAAAGCGTTCAAGCCCCAAACACCAAACACTCAAAGTACCCATGCACCCCCCGGGAAACGCGAACTCGACCCCTAAGACCCAAACCCCAAAACCCACAAATCAACTGTGAGTTGATGGGGCCATCCTAATCGATGCAAGGAACAGTACTAGAATAGAGGCCCCAAAATGGAGTTTGGGGTTTATGGGTTTAAGGGTTTATAGATTCTAGATCGATGCCGCCCTCAGCTTCTGTCCCTAGGCACAGAGTAAAGTCAGCCGCGCCGAAATGGCCAGCCGAGTGCAGCAGGACGCAACTTCTCACCCTCAGAAACCATGTACACAAAAGCTATAGGGCTTTAGGGCTTAGGGGATCTGCGCACTTTAACAACCTACTTCCTATACTTCCTGCAGACTTTTGGCAGCCGCAAGCTGCTTGCTTCAGTGCCTGCAGTGCTTCCCCGGACCCCCGGCACGCAAGACCTCCAAAGTCTTGAAGCCTCAGACGCAAAGGGTCCATGTACCCGGTTACCCATATGGTATATACAAATAAATAAATAAATAAATAAATAAATAAATATATATATATATATAATATGTAGATATATATATATATATATCTACTTGGGCCTTAAAGAGGTTCGCATATAGTAGTAGATACTATATGGGTACATGGACCCTTTAGGGAGAACCACGGACTCCCCTAAGCGCCAGAGCCTTCCATGCGTTGGGAAGCGGCAGGAGAACGAGGCCGACGTCGGATGCGAGACGCTGAGGACTCTCAAGGCTCGCCACCGCTTTGGGGTTCAGGTTCGTGCTCTCTCTCTCTCTCTCTCTCTCTCCGTGATTGTCTGTTCTTGCATGCGAGACTTCCACCGATTTGTTTTTAACCGGGCGGGGGGTGGGGCCGGGTGGGGGTTTGTTTAGGAAGCGGTGCATCGTCGTTGGTTTTGTGATCTCCAGAGCCCAACACCATGATGAGCGTTTAACCCTCCGTGCATAGCAGAGAAGAGTGAACGATGTGTTCTGGCTGACTACCGACATCAAGTGTAAGTGCGTGTGTAAGTGTGCCAATGTGTGTGTGTGTGTGTGTGTGTGTGGGTGTGTGTGTGTGTAAGTGCGTAAGGGTGTAATCGTGTGAGTGTGTAAGCGTGTAAGTGTGCAAAGCGTGTAAGTCTGCAAGTGCAAGTGTACGTGTAAGTGTACGTGTAAGTGTAAGTGCAAATGGAAGTGTAAGTGTAAGAGTGTTCACTGTACAATAATTTGGATCAGGCTTTCAACCGGGCGCTCAACCCCCAATTGTTCAGGCATTAGGGGTTTTGGAGTGTTGTAGGGTTTCAATGTCGAACTGGGGGTTGGGGGCTTGGGTGTTGTGGGTTTGGGACGAGGGCTTACCGTCTAACCTTTACAGTGCAGTTTGGGTGGCAGGTTGGGTCTGGGCCTGCCATCCATGGCCCCAGGCTGCTTCACACCCGAGCACTTTCCCGCATCGGACTTACCCTCAAAAACCTACAGGCCTTGAAACCCTAAGCAAACCTTTAAACCCTCAATTCAGCCCTACATTGCCCTAAGACCCCTTCAGTCCTAAACCCGAAGCCCTAACCTCGTGGTGACTAAGCCCATGTGTCCGCAGGCCATGCTGACGAAGAAGTACAAAAACCTGGCTGTGAGCTCAGGGGGCTTCAGGGGTTTGAGGTTTACCAATTATCCATGGGGGTTTAGGGCTTCGGGGTGGGGTGGGTGGTGGGGGGGACGGAGGTGAGAACGGTGAGAACGCACAGCGTATATATGTTTTTTAGATTAGGGCTCAGAGGCATGCGTTCTCTAGGGTGCAATATGGAAAGTCGACAAGTTTTTCCCTTCATCCGAAGTCCTTACTATTTTTTAGGGGGTTTCGGGTTGAGAGACTGTGAGCCAACCGCTCCAAAGCCGCCGCTCGCTTCTAAGGCCATCGCCTGGCGCGTGGCGCTGGATCCAATGGGGCAGGGCCATCTATCCAAGGAGGCCATTAAGGGGCTTAGGAAGGTTTGTGTTGGTGGGTCTGAACCCCTATGCGCCTATACCTGCAACCCCCGAACCCTGGGAATCTCTACTCCGTAGGTCCTACCATGCTGGAGGGTTAACCTGCAACATCCCCAAAACCTCGGATTAGCATAAACCCAGACCGTAAACCCAAATCCTAAACCTTCAACCTCAGGCCACACGCCGCAAAAAAGCGGAAGCTGTCCCGAAGCACTGGACAGGCACTAAAGCCTCAATCCTAAACTGACCCGAAGCTCGAACATCGTTTTGTGGCCTCCCTTAGCCCCAATTTTGGCCTTTTTCGCGTTGTAGGGCTTAGGATCTCAGGGTTTGGGGGGGTTCAAGGGGGGCAGGGAATCATCCTCCTTGGAGCCTCAGAAGCCCGAAGCTCCTCAGTCCCAACTCCATCTCTGGGCCTTAAACTCCCCTACGTGCAAGAAGCTTTTTGGTGCCATGAACCCCTAGGCTTGAGAGGCCCCTACAAACCTCAAACCCCTAAAAGCCCCTCCAACCCTGAACCCTCTGCAACCCTAAGCCAGAAATTCTTGGGATGTTCCCCCTTATAACGAACGGTCCTGAATAGGGATTATAGTACCCATATTAGATTCCCTATGCAGGACTGTTAGTATAAGGGGGAGCATCCCAACTAAACCCTGAAACCCCAAACCCTCCAAGATCTTTGCCCCAGTCCTGGGCGTCAGGATTGGTTCAACGCCGTGCGCAATCGACTGGGGCTCGGACACAGGGATGGGGTGTTGGGCTGCCCTCTCCCGAGGGGTTCAGGTTAGGGTTGAGAGTTGAGGGTTGACGGTTTCGGCTTAGGGCTTTAGGCCTTAGGCTTTAGGGTTTAGGGTGTCGGGTGAGAGCAGGTCCGCAGTCCTAGGGTGGTTGAAGATGGCGCTTCTGTTTAGGATAGAGCCTTGGCCATCTACCAAGGCCTCGCCCCAGACAACGCACCCCAGAAGCCCTATCAAACCTCATAGGGCTGTCGCTTGCAGCCCCCCACAGCCCTAAACCCCACAAACCCCTTTAAATTTTCGGCTGGAGCCCCTAAAGCTCTAAACCCTAACCCCCCTGTTAGGTTTAGGTTTCATCCAAGTATGGGCTCTTGGTATGTACAGTGTTTTGAAGGGTTGTAGACCAAGGAACCCAAATAAAGGGCCCATACTTGGAACCATACATGTAGTTCTCAACCCTGAACTAAACCCTACCCCCCTAACCGCCAAACCCTAATCCCTATGGGGGGTTTGGCAATGGCTCCATGGCACTCGACGCAGGTGGGGGCCTCCCTCAAGCCCTAAGCCGTGCAAATCTACCCAAGGTCTTTGCATAGGGTTTTAAGGCTTCCAGGGTTTAGGGTTTATGGGGTTTAGGGTTTAAGGAGAAAGGTTTCGGGGTTGAGGGTTGAGTGTTCTTGGTGCTTCAGGCCTTCGTGTACACTCCTGAAAGCCTTGCCTGCACCCCTCCCCTCCAACCTTACTGCTGAACATGGGTACCTTCATGGCGGACTTTCAAGGGTGCAGGCGAACCCCCTAAACCCTAAACCCTAAACCCTAAACCCTAAACCCTAAACCCTAAACCCTAAACCCGATGAAAACAAACAAAACAACCTAGACCCGGAAGGCAAGAAGGAGTGCAAGCAAGGTATCGGCTTCCACGGCGACCTCCGACAACTCTGGAAAGAGGTAGCCAAGCCGAACGCGGGCTAGAAGCCGAGAATGTTCTGGTTTAGGATTTTAGGGTTTAGGGTTTGGGGTTTAGGGAAACTAGGGTTTAGGGTTTTTAGGGTTTGGGGTTTGGGGTTTAGGGAAAGAAGTAGTAAAGGAAAGGTTGCCTCGATGATTGGCCGGACTGAGGTTGGGCGCCCTAGAAAGCCCTTAAGAGAGACTCGGAGATCATGTAGGGTACCGAAGTGTGGCGACTCAGTTCCTTCTTAAGACCGGTGAGGCTTTTAGGCTTTCCAAGGGTTTCGGGAGAATTTGGATGGAGGTAAGGTAAGGCCCTCCCCCCCCCCGTTCGGTGAGAACCCGGCTGTGGGGGTTCAGGGCTTGGGGGCCGGCTTTGGGGGATGTCGACTGCTTAAGGATTAGGGTTTAGGGTTTAGGGTTTAGGGTTTAGGGTTTAGGGTTTAGGATCAGGGTTTAGGGTTGCCTTATAGGGGCACCTGGTAGCTGCCTGCTGCCTGATGTGGCTCGACGTTGCAGGGTCCAGACCCCAACAAGAAAGCTCCTCAATGAGATGGTAGTCGAGCATGCCAGGGCCAGGTTTCTCCCCTTTCAGGGATTAGGGGTGAGGGAGGGTTCAGGATAAGTGGGGCTCCTTTCCCGCCCGCGGCGATACGCGAGCCGAGATGGCTGCAACCACGGCAGAGGCCCCCTGGGCGGAGCTACCCTAAACCCTCAACCCTAAACCCCTACACCATCCGAACAGCCCGTTGCCTCTAGAGGCTCTAGGGCCCTAAGCCCTAAACTTTAAACCCGAAACGCTAAACCAAGCACCTAAACCGGTCTCTTTTTCGCTCTCAGAGGCCATACTCTACAAGGTTTTCATTTTTGGTTTGGGGGTTTGGGCTTTAAGGTTTGGGCATGTTTAGGGTTTAGGGTTTAA